GTCAAGTAAGTCAGTAAATATCACGTTTTCAATCTCGAAGCGACTATTTAAGTTGTTTCGGGATAGTTTTCAGAGTTCGGATAAAGATGATTCAGTCATGTGAGAGTCAAGTCATGGTTATTCAGTCATGAGAGTATTCAGGCCAGTCATGTTAAGAGCGAGGATAGTTTGTCTAATAAGACAAGACTTATCCATCATTCTCAGTATGTCAGCGCCTCGATTCCCAAATTCTGAAGAATCTGAGAAATCGTGGGAGGGACTTCTTCTTGAGGTTAAGATTAACCTCGGAGGGAGTAAAAAAGTTGCAGGTACCACAGGTTGACATTCGCCGCGATGAAGAAGAGCCAATCGACAACAACGGATTGTGCCATGATGGTAAACCGATGCCTTCCACCCCAAGGATGCCATGCTGTAGTCACAGTACACTGGAAGGTTGCAGAGAGTTAGTATTAACGTACATTGAGGTTACTAGCTTGAGGTATACGATCAGATTACGTCGACGGCGCAGGTGCAATGTTCGCCAGGTGCTGTATGCAGGCGTGCCGCACTCACTGGATGAGGAGCAGGTGTGCAGCATTACAATGTGCCGCGAACGATGTGCCGCGTCATCGAGCAGACATTCATGAAAGGTAAGGACCAATATAGCTAGTTATCCTCATTTGTGCATATGTGAATCTCTGGAATCTTCCATGTGTACCAACAAAGGAGTTTTCACCACCAGCATTCCGATTGGAGATCCGCCAGCAGCTAGGAGAGGATGACCAACATATTTCAGAGTTTCGTTTTGAGATCATGTCTTATCAGTGGAACACTTTCTTTCAGAAAAGTGTCCCTTCTCAGTCAGTAGTATTCTACAATTCACTTAATTGTGAATTGATGCCTCTTCAGTTCAGATCAAGTTTCTTATTCAGTATTAAATTACTGGATTTTCAAGTTATGTAATCAGTAAGTATAAGCTTTAAGTTAAGCTTGTACATTCCAGTTTTAGTATTTCCGAGGTCGGCCAGGTCGTTGCGTAGGCTTCACGTCAGCTTAAGCCTCATGAGCAGAACTATCCTACGCACGACTTAGAGCTAGCAGCAGTCGTTCACGCTCTGAAGATCTGGAGACATTATCTTTACGGCGGACGCTGCGAGATTTTCACAGACCATAAGAGCCTGCAGTATATCTTCACGCAGAAGGAGCTTAATATGAGACAGCGCCCTTGGCTCGAATTGGTCAAGGATTATGATTGTTCTATTCAGTACCATCCGGGAAAGGCGAACGTCGTCGCAGATGCCCTAAGCTGAAAGGTGAAGGGTGACTTGACGTACGTCATTACGCAGCAGAGTCCGTTGATTCATGAGTTTGCCCGGATGTAGCTTCAGGCGATTGGTGCACTTCCTATAGCTGTCTCGGGGAGTACCAGTGCCAGTGTCAGTGCTATGCAGCTTCAGCCGACACTGAGAAAGAGAATCCGGCGAGAGCAGGCTTCTGACGAGTTTGTTCGTGTTATGGAGGCCAAGGTTCGCGCCGGAGGCGTCCAGGATTTTCAGTTAGGTGTCGATGGTGCCTTGGAGTTCAGAGGCAGGATCGTGGTCCCGAAGGTTGAGGCGTTGCGGAAGGAGATCCTATCAGAGGCACATACCGCACCCTATTTGGCCCATCCCGGGAGCACGAAGATGTATCACGACCTGAAAGGGTCGTTCTGGTGGCGAGGCATGAAGAAGGATGTCGCCGAGTTCGTCAGGAGATGTCTTACCTGTCAGCAAGTCAAAGCCGAGCATCAGAGTCCGATCGGCCTCCTGCAACCACTGCCGATTCCGAGGTGGAAGTGGGAGGAAGTCACTATGGATTTCGTTACGGGATTACCGAGGTCGTCTGAACATCACGACGCTATCTGGGTCGTGGTCGACAGATTGACTAAGGTCGCTCATTTCTTACCCGTTTCGATGAAGATGTCTCTGGATAAGTTGGCTGAGATATATACCCGTGGGATTATTCGACTCCACGGAGTGCCCGTTACGGTTGTATCAGACAGAGATCCCAGATTCGTCAGTCGATTCTGGCACAACTTACATGAGGCGATGGGCACGAAGCTTGAGTTCAGTTCAGCTACCATCCGGAGACGGACGGTCAGTCAGAGCGGACGATTCAGACACTTGAGGATATGCTTCGCGCTTTGGTTGTTGACAGGGGTGCCAAGTGGGAGTCACTGTTGCCGTACGCCGAGTTTGCATATAACAACAGCTATCATTC